GGGATCAAATCACTCAAAAATCAATAACTGCAAAATTTAATTCTTTACATTGACTGTGCAGTGTAATGTGTGCATAGATTTGCATAGACGACAAAGCTCAGTATTAAAATTCCCAACATACCAATTTTACTTCATTCATACATTCATTCAATTATGTATTCATTCATTCATGCAAGAGTCTAAGCTAGGATTATTAAGTCTTAACATACTTCCTGTAAAGCGGTAAAATGATTGATTAGAACGCACACATTCCAATTTATTACTGTCAATCACTTCAATTTAATCAGGAAATTAAATTGTAAAATTATGTAGCAATGGAAATGTCATTGTGTCATATATACAGACAGAGACTTTTACAAAATGTAATCCTTGATCTCACTTCACTCAGATGATCAAATCACAAAAATTTTAAGAGGCGGGGTTCCGTCATAAGTTTTGATCACAAATTAAAAATATATTCATATTATACACTACAATATTCTTACTACTACCAACCACAGAATAAGTAATCAATTTGTGCACAATAATTTCACTAGATTTTAGAATGAACAGGCTTATTTTTTTTAAATAAGGTTCAAGCCAATTTACATTGTATATCATCAGCTTCAAGTTCAAGTTTCCATTATTATGGGTTAATGTGGAAAATTGCGAAAATTTCATATTTTTGAACTGGTACTTATGGTGAAATTATTTTGAATCTCAAAATGTTGCTTGTGACTTTGGATAAAAAAGTTATATATTATTAATCTAATTATTGTTGAAACCTTAAAAAAAATTACATTTAATATATGTAGCAAGTTTTCAGTGCAATAATAATTTGCCATTAAATACAATAGGAAGTGCTTGCCCATAATGCATTGCAATAGGATGGTCAGTAATGCAAAATTTTAATTTGACTTAAACTTAGAACTTTTTTAGAGTGGGATTGCTAAATATATAACCCACTTGGGATGCAATTTCTTGTTTATAAATCACCAGGATTTGAAAGATCTTTGTGATGTATTTTATTTAGCTTTTATGCCGAATTGGAGACTGTGTGTGGATTTAGAGTGCACTGAAAACAGAACACTGTTCACTAGAGCGTAACTCAATAACCTCGTTGTGTAATTTACATATCATGTGAAGTATTTCTATTATCCCAGCCCATACAAGACAGAATACACCAAAAAAACCTGTAAACAAATAAATCTCTGATTGACTAGTTTGCCAAAATATTTTGAATCCCTTCCTACTGAAATAAAAATTACATTATGATCCACTATAATAAGTGATAGTAAACATTCAACTGGATGCCCACAATTTGGAAGTTGGACTTCTTATTAAACTTGCACATGTGAATCCAGTACTCCTTAACTTGCACATCAAAGACCCCTTAACTTACACATGAATGAGCCTTCAACTTGCATATCCAAGACCCCTTAACTTACACATGAAGGAGCATTCAACTTGCATATCCAGGAACTTCTAACTTGTATACCCTGGACACCTTAACTTGCATATCCAGAGAAATAACCTACACAAGGAAAGAATTAAACTTACCAATTGGCTGACCTTCCACAAATTTTAACTTGGCCAATTTATCACCTTCTTCAGCACGTAGATTATTCAACATGAATAACACAATCTCTTGACGTTCCTGGAACAGCAAAAAACAAACTAAAGATTTTATCAAACCTCCCACCAAAACTACTGATTAACAGAAAGTGTAAAAATATGTATTCTGTGTTCATACTTAGAACTACTGATTGTGGAGATGCTATTATGCAAATTAGTATATTAATATGCAGAGATTTGCGTATAAATTACAGTACCCTTGTAAAAAAATGAATACAAGAATCAGGGAATGTATTGATAACCTGAACAATTTTAAGAAATATAAAAATACCTGAGATGAGAAAAAATCAGCCTGGTTATCAATTCCTTCATAGATGATTTCTTCATCACAACTGAAATCTTTCAAACCACCTCCAAATTCCTCTTTAACTTTCTTTCTGAATCCCAGGTCTTCTGCTCCTTTCATTAAGCTACACAGGTACAAAATTCATATTAGGCAAAAACAGTTGGTTTCCTCTTCTTTTATTATTATTTATCTATTTTTTAATAATTAATTAATAATTTAATAATTTTTGTTCACTCTGCTGCACCTACTAAAGCAGAGTGGCAAAGGCACTACTTGAGAAATCTAGCAACAGAGATTCATCACATAAAATCTGCGAACAGCCATGATGACATTCATTCATACAAAATCTACCGACAACCTCAGTTCAGTTTCCATAATTTTTTTCCCACTTTGTTTATCTAATATGTGTTTACATTACAGCTGCAGCATTTTTGACATTTACAAGGTAATGAAGTAAAACACTTAAAAAGTAATTCCATAAACACTTACTTTTCAAATGTGGCAGTGAGATAAAATCCATACACTCCAGTATTGCTATGGTGACGGACATGTACTCCAATTTGTGGTGTTCTGGATCGCAATCTTGCTAGGACCCACATCAAGGTGTCATCATCTGTTTTCTCTGGAAATGTCATCAAGACATCGCAGTCTTTTGTTGGCACTGTTGACTGCCATAATTTATTAGCTACCACAAACTTACTGGCTTTGGCAAACTTCTTACCGAATAACTTGGCTGTAAAAAAACAAATAGTTCCATGTTAATTAATGTTGGCTGCATCAAGTTGAATGGCAATGCACCAAACACCAAACTATGGTGGCTAATTTGCATGAGAATAAAATAAAATTTGCATATTAGTTTGCAACAATAAAAATAGCTTCAATTCTTTCTTTCTTAAAAATTCTAGCACATCAATCCAGGGTGTTTATATTGTTTACAAGCGACTACCCATGAGCCTTTGCGTTTTTAGCATGTGTTGTTATCATCACTTGGGACTCAATTCCCGGGCGCACACAGGTGACGACCCTCTCGCTTTAAATCAGAAGAAGATATAATGCTTTATGAAAACAAGGGTAGATAATAGATAAGGGAATGCAGGCAACATGCATTTGGGGATCATCATTTTCTGTACAGATTATATTTTTTTTTATTCTGACAAGAAGTCAAAAGTGTTTGAAATTACTACATCAGAATAATTAAAAGAAAACTATTTCAAGCATTGTGTTTATTGCCACAGTGTGTGCCGATTATACCATAGTATACGTAAGGCTTTTCTTTGTTCCACGTCAGCACATGCTTAGAATTTGTAGAATTTTAAGAAAACAAATCTGTAATTCCTGTTTTACTACACTTGTATCTGTTACAAAAACGAAGCTAATGTTTCATCCATACATTCAGTCTGCATGGACAGCTAAGTTTAGTAACCTGTCTACTCTGCTTGTTTTTTTATTTCAAAGTGAATCAAAAGAATCACTTTTACACACCTAAACACTATATGAAATACTCTGTACAGGCATTACAATATGTAAATTATTATAACATAGCCATGTAATTAATGTATATGATATAAACAGGTCATTAAAAATAATACATTTTCAAAATTTATAACTTACAATGATTTTTAACCAACAAATACCCAATCAGGTTCTGCAATATATTTGTACTGTACTATTTTAAAAACTGATAATACAGTTTCTAAACGTTGACACAAACAGCTGCTATGAAAGTAAAGCAACATTTTCAAGCAGTTTCAATCAGTATTTTTGAATTATATTTATGAATTGACCAGTAAAAATTGCAGAATTTGTAAGCAGTGAAAATGCTACTACATTCAAAGTACATAATTCACATAATTTGAGACATATGCAGCCAGTGTATTTTCTGATTTAATCAATAATGTGTAGTATCAGGGATGTTTCTAATACTTTATTTTTGCATGGAATTTATTTTTGCTATTTTCACGGAAGGGATGATTCAGTGAAAATAGAAAATAAAAACCAGCGAATATATATCTTTTTTTCTCCATATTTTACATTCAACTCATCAAAAATCAGTGAAAATAATCTCTATACAAACACCCAGCTAAAATAAAGTACCATAGATGCTAAAAGCTGAATAAGTCTTCTGCTTTGTGTTTCTAGTAGCAGCTACACATAGTGTAGATCATATTACAGTTGAACATCTATCCAATGGAAGTGAAGTATGGCATTTATTTTAGTAAACTAATTGTCAAGAGATATGGTAGAGGCTGACGAACAGGTGCCACCTGTCGATAGATCGTAACTACAAATACTTATCTGCCATAAATTGTTATGCATGGTTAGAAAATGATACAATTAACATCAGATAAACTAATAATTGTTGTAATTTATGAGTCAAGTAAGGATGAGAGGATGATAAAAAACCATTTCCAATGCATAATAAAATATTATTACATCAAAGGTTAGAATGAGATAAGTGTCAGGACCTTTAGTTGCTAGGCAACCATTTGAGATATTATTAATCTTGTAAGCAGGAACTAGGAGTTGTTTTACTTCCATGCATTTGTATGCATTTTATTATAATCATATATCAGTTTAGTATTCATATTCCCATTCAAAGTTTACAAATTTTCCATAAGTATAAGAAACATATTTTTTATTCATTTACACTAATTTGAAGTGAAACAAAAGATTTGTTTGGCATATTACTGGTATATGTTGAATATCTGTAAGTACTGGTATATATTAAGACATCTCAAACATTCAAACAAATCTATTAAAATAGTGAAAAAAACAGCAGGAAACAGTCCTAGATATAATATGGTCTTTAAATGTGGCCGGGCACCCTTTCTGAAATGGGAATAATAGTGAAGCTTGTTCAGTATCAATACAGAACTGTCTATTACATTAAACTCTGTTTTCGAGATGATATTAAATTTTTTGAATGCGAAATTCAACTTCTATCAAGTATTACATTAATGAGAAATTATGAGCAGCCTGGTAGTCAACACAGATACTACACAAACATGTTGAATCACAATTTTGGCAGGATTTAGGTAAATTTTAACAAATTTTGGTAAAATTTAACAATGCAGAAAGCAAATTAATACATATAGACAAAAACAATGCCATACATTACAAGCTTTCATGCATGCATAAACACTAGACCAGTACAAATATATAATAACTCATGTTGTATACAAGCATCTATCACAATACCAACAGACAACACAATAATAATTCTCAAGCGTATAGTAAAATCCTAATAAATTTCATTATTCATGTTGTCAATTTCATTTACATTCCCAGCATCATTCATGGAGCATGACATCTGTCTATTACGGACATCATTGATATTCCCAACTACCAGCTAATATTTGTATATTTAAATGAATTTAAATATAGATCAGACAACGAACAATAACGACCAACATTTAATAATAATATATTATTGACCTTTGCCTTAACAGAAATGAGGCCCAGAATTCATGCAAAATAAATTTACGTACAATAATACTCAACTTGAACAAAATTTCACAATTCTTATGAATATTAATATATAATTATAAATGCAGACATGACACACCTAGAAGCTCTGACTCAATGGATATTTTAGTTTTACACATAGCATGGGATGTAATGTTAGAAAAAAATCTAAAAATTATTCTGTATTTGTAGCTCAATCATTTTTCTCAAAAATAACACTGTTAGGGTTGATATTGATGTAAAAATAAGGCTTGAATTAAGTACAAATTGTGTTAACTGTACAATGTTCAAAGTGGAATGGTGTCAGTGAAAAAGATAACTCGGTTCACTAATATTCTGATAATCAGCTGAATGATATAAAGTTGACAATTTTAGCAAAGAACAATATATATATATATGTGTATACTACAGTCACATGACATATACATAATATAGCAGAACAGATAAATGGTATATTACAGTGTCAGCAAGTATTGTGTTAAAGTGCCACAGGTTTTTTGTCATATCATGTTCAATATGGGCAATGCATACAACAAATTCAAATGAATTGTTCTGTGACAAAACCAATAGTAGACCCCTGATATAGGGTCTATTGATTCTTTATGCTGTGCATGTGAGGATCACCAGGGTACTAGTCTCCGTTAGAAATTAAATAATAATTAAAATAGAAATATGGACAATCAGAGAACGAGTATAATACTACAAAGCAAATGAATTAATTTCATGAGAGTAAAATTTTATGTATGAATTTGTAAATTTAAAGGGCGGTAGTCGTCGCGCCGCGTCCTGTTCAATAAGGGACTCATAGCAACGTACACAACGCGTGTAAAATACATTGTTTAAGTACATGAAATTCGAACACATGCTGCGCGGCGACCACCGTCCTTTAATCTCATCAAATGAAATTGCAAACATTTTATGGTTTATGGAATATTTCAGAGAGTAATGTGTAGCTGCTGATACTGGCACAAGTACAGTAAATAAAAAGTAAATTAGAATTCCAGCATTAGATTCTGATATTGCATGATTCTCTTCATAGTACTAATAGTGAAACTCTATATTGAAATAAAAGTCACTATTGTAACAAGATGCAAGCAGTACAATCACAACTTAACCTTACTTACAATGAGCATAGATTTCAAATATTTTATACTTGGTCCATTTGCAAAATAGTATGATCTTAATGACCTTGTTAGGTCAATAATGATTCATGCCTGCAGTAACCCATAGGGCACAACTTCCTATATTCTATGCAGCGAATACAGGAATGTATATTGACATGAATCATGACCCACTTGTATTCTCAGATGAGTAGTGACCATCTTAAAAGCATTAGCTATGTTAGATATGGGTCAACATGTGTCAGTGACAAACATTGTATATTTACACAACTGACTACCACTGAAACCTAGAGAATGTTTAAATGATTTCCTATATTTACATGTTAACAAAATTAATATATATATTTTGTACTGAAACCAATAAGGTGACAAATCTTTTAGGAGACTTTTTATGTCAAAGCTAAATAGCCATTGACAGATTGGCATCTTAAAAGCACAAAGTAAACATACTTTACCAATACTGGTATAAATGGTAATAACTTTTCTGAAGATTCTTTTTAGAATTATCTGTTATTAACGCTTGATACAATAAACATTTATTGCACAATTATAACATGGTTAGTCTGAATCTAGCCATCTGATTGGCTGAAGCAAGGTCTTGTATCCGGCACACTTGGCTTAAATAAATCAAAATCATACGATTGTGAGCACTGTTCATAGTGATTGCGGGTGTATGATCAATTAATCAAAATGAGGAAACCTGGTACAAGTATTAATATGAATCATTATTGCCAAAAATAGTATTACCCATTTTGTGTGAGAATGTGTGCGTTTGCACTGCAGTGCAGCATTCAAATCAAATAAGTGACGTCATTGCTTATGCTCGGTTATTATCTTATGCCAAATATATTAATTTTCTCCAGAGAGGTCTTATATCAAATACCCTCACTTGCTATTTATACCGTTTTAATAAGGCAATATATACATGTAGGTGATAATAAAAACTACTGTATTTTCATATCTATAGTTTTCTCTGCAACTGCTATGTGAATTGATGCTATCATATTTGCTTTTTTAGTGATATTTACATAAATTAATCTATGCTCTATTGTAGGTGTGTGCTTATTTTAGAAATGCACTTCTAATAGAACAAATACAGTCAAATCCTGACAGATGCATTGGGTAAGCCCATCCCCAAAGGGCACACATTTTTTGTGAGAGAGATTCTCAGTACATCATGCAAACTTTTACTGATCTCTAATGATAAGAGCACTCTAAGTAAATATGTATTTCTTTGAGAAATATGCTAAACTAGTCAAATAAATGTCAAAACTGCAGTTTGTGTATGTTAGCACAATACATGTATATGTAATATTTGAACCATATGGTTTATGAAAATTAACATACATATTTCTACTTACATTATAACTTATACAAATGTGAATGAATGATATCCAAAAAGCATGAATGAAATGATCCAAATATTAAATATTTAACAATTACTGTAAAATACTTTATTTTAGCTAAAATTAATTTTCGCTGAAAAGCCATTTTTGGTGTTTTGTTTGGAAATTATTATCACTGACTTTCGATGAGTTGAATGTGAAATATAGCAAAAAAGGTATATTCACTAGATTTTATTTTCACTGAATCATCCCTTCACCGAAAAATAGCAAAAATAAAGTGTTTTACAGTAAATGTTAAATTACGCACTATAAAACATTGTGTACTGTGAGTGTGCATCATAATAACATGACGAAATGTGATTATGTAATATAACAATAATGGATGGAAGTGAAAGGTCAGGTAACACAATGATAGCTCCATATTACAATGTAACATTTGTTATTAATAAAATCCACAAAAACAAGGAAACACAGAAATTACTAGTCATACTACGGTATTCAATTGTCAACATCACTCCACACACACATAGCACTTTGATTAGCATGTTCTAGGTTCATATTAAGCATTGGAACTATAAGAGAGACACATTTCACCCTTTTTTTCAATTTTTTTTTTTACATAGTAAAGACTAACATAAACAACAAATAGGGATAATATTTAGTTGATAATAGTAATGGAATGGGGGAGAGTGAAATTATTTAACAGGTTTTATGCTTAAAATAAATGTAATATTTATGGAACGACATTTAAAAATAAATAAATGATATGCTATGATGTATGCAAGGAGTGCCTTACCAAACACAATATTTTCCATTTTCAATTGAGCGAAAATTACACCAATAGGAAAGACACAGGGTTAGCAGGTGGGTAGGCAGGAATTACAACTCAAACTACGCTGAGTAGATGAGCAAACGGACGGTGACAGCGATAGCAGGGTGGGCGTGGTATACACACTACCAACACATCCAACAAATACGTTCGTTATAATATACCAGCTAACTGTTCAGCCAATTTTTCGTCTATTGCCTTCAACAATTCCATGAAACAACAACTGATCTCCAAATTGGTCCGCTGTAAGCATTCACAACGATGTTGGCAGTTATCTGCTGTTACAGACAGTGTGTCCTATCCATCCCGTCCCCGACAATCGTTGACGCGATTCTGACTGCTCTGACCCCAGCTGTTAAGCTTTATGCAAATTTATGTAAACAACGTTTAAAAAATAGCTTGCTAATGCTCGTCACAAAAATTGAAATTGCAGCATAAATATAGAAACGAAGTCCCCTGCCATGTAAATACAACTGGGATATTCTATTTGATGTGGGTGAAATAGGGCAATAATGGAATGTATCATTGTACGTACTGAACGGTTTAAGTTGTCCATCTTTTTAGTCGTGTGGTACTGCTTTCCAGTGCTTTATGTATGAGCTGTTCCATGTTCAAGCTATTCATCTGTCGTCCAGAATTCGTTAAATGACATCGTCAACGCATATGAGCTGCAGAGAACGTCTGATAAATGAAGTGAATAGATTGTCAATGAGATCACTGGTATCATGGGCGCCGCCATCTTGAAGACAACTTACAATTTTAATATGCAAATTAGATAGCCCCCCAGCTCCTGTGGTGTTACTTCACAACTTTTTCACGAATTCTTGAATAAAAGAATAGATCAAATAAAATAAATTGTTAATAAGTGTTGAAATGATAATTTTCATAACATAAAGATACACACGCCATAATATGTCAGATCTATGTCGATGATGTTGTCAACATTTTATGAAATGGATAAATGCAGTCATCAACCAAGTGCTCGCTATAAAAAGGTTTGTTTACAAAAATATTCTTTAATTGATAAAATTAATTAATATTGTTTTAATAAACCGTAATAAAATTACAATTTTGTCTTCGAATGCAATAAGCCTACAGGTATTCAATATGATGGTGGCGCAATCACTATTCAGACTGGGTTCTGCGGATGTCTGTCGTATGGTGGCGTTTCTCAAGTGAACTTACGAGATCAAATAATTTGACCTTACCTACTCCCATATATAGCCAGACCAATCATAAAACATTAGTACAACTTCAAGTCAACCAATCTTTGTAGACTGTCGACAGTCCTTTAAACGCTTTGCGGCATTGGAATAGTGTGAGTTTTATAACACTAAATTCTACATTTTATCGACATTTATTGCCTGATGTAGGTAAAAAGCTAGTTTGTTTCAAACACAGTCTCTCTGTCTATTATTTTGCTTTGTATATCCTCGAGTTATTACATTGAACTGACTGACATAACATTTATTTTGTATATGGTAATTTTGTTATCATTTCATGTTGTTTCTGATTTTTATGAAATCCAAGAATAATATTCACAAAATTTCGAGTGCCAATTCTGGTGACAGTCGGGATGCACCCGAGAATTAAGGTATTTCTCTACCACTAAATCATACTCAGAAATCCTCCAAATCCAAAGAGGGGTGCATGGGTTACAGTAATGTTCAAAATTCTGAAATCAAAATGCTCTATTTGAGTAGTTTACAATTGGTTTCTATGGCAACACATTCT